CCTCCGCCCGCCCGCCCGCGGGCCCTCCGGGCGCAGGGCAGCCACTGCCCACCGCACACTGCGCTGCTCCGGACCCACTGTGCGTGTGACAGCGGCTGACCTGTCCCTGGGCAGCGCGACGCCCCGGCCCCTCCGTGACCCTGCCCTGTCGGGCAGGCGCCGGGTGGGGGTTAGGACAGCAGAGGGCTCGGCTCGGGCCAGATATCCCGTGTCCAGGGAGCCAGGCGATGGGTGCAGTGGTCCTGGGACGGCCTTCTGGATGTGCAGGCTGAGGACAGCGGGGTGTGGCGGTCACTCTCAGGCCCCAGGATTGGAGCCAGCTGGACCAGCCCGAGCCACCTCTGGGACCCTGCAGGACGGTTCTGGCTCATCTGTGTTCCTGTGCCCAGCAAGGCCACTGAGGGGCCAGGATGCCTTGGGCCCATTTGCGGCCCCAGTGACATGGCCCTCCCAGAAAAGGAGGGCACGTGGTAGAGCCCCCCGGGGGGCGGCGACCACCCTCCTTCTCTCTGGGGTGTTCCCAAGTCGGCGGTGAGGACTGCTGGCTCCAGAGCCTGCTCCGAGTGGCCACCAGCCCGCAGACCCTCAGGGAGAGGCCTGCCCCCTGGGGACAGTGAGCCCGAACTGGAGTTTGCTCCCGTCACCCAAGAGGCTCCAGGCGGCAGGTGAGGGGAGATGAGTCAAGAACCAGCTGACCAGTTCATGGCCAATTGGGCAGTGACCACCCCTGGGACAACAAGCCGGCCCTGAGGGGACTTCAGTGGAGTGAGCAGGACCCTGCGTGGCCTGGCCCTGCAGATCAGGGACCTCTGGGCTGCACTGAGCAGGGCAGGCTTGGCTGGCAGGCCTGGGCCTGCTGTGGACGGGTCCGATGGACATCTGGTCTGGCCCTTCACCGCACTGTTCCTGTCCCTGACTTCAAAGTACAGCTTAACACGCAAAAGTAACCACTCCATGGTTTGCAAAGTGACCTCAGGGCTGCTGGCCACTTTTCTGGGTGGGGGGTCTTGTCTGCCTACGACAACCAGAGGTGGGTTCACACCCTCCCAGAGGCGGGCGCAGCTGCCCGGGTCCCTTCTGGATGGGGAAGGGGCTCATCTTTAGCTGCCCAGGGCCAAAGGCCAACCAAGCCCAAGCCCCCCTGCCAGTTTCAGGAGGGGCGCACACCTGCTTCCCCTAGGGGCAAGGAACTGGCCAGGTGGAGCAGGTGACCCCAGTTGGTGGGCGGCCTTGACCCACTGGCCTGCACGCTGGCGTGGGAGATGACCCCACGGTGAGGCTCCCCTCTCCTCAGGGTTCAGCCTGGAGCCTAGGTCCCTTGGGGGCAGCCCCGGGTCCTGCAGGCAGAGGTGTGAAACAGCCTGACCCAGCAGCCTTTCCTGCCCCCGCCTGAAGCACCCAGGCCCTGTCAGGCCTGCTGCCCAGGCAGCTCTGCCCTGGAATCTCAGGACACCTACCTCCGAGGAAAGTGGGGAAATCCCTGGTGGCCCAACGCCACCCAAAAGCTGCCCACCCCCAAACTCGGCACCAAGCCCCCAGCCACCTAGGAGTCTGAGTCCAGTGACTGCTCCCAAGCAGCAGCCCCAGGTCTGGCCTGGGGGCCTCAGCAGAGCCCAGACTGGCTGGAAACCACCCTTCTGGACAGGGGAGCCAAGAGGGTGTGGCGAGCTGGGCAGCCACACCCTCCAAGGCCCAGCCGCCTGGGCAGTGCGGCTCTCTCACCACGAGCCTGCCGGGCGGGTCTGGGCCTCCCCGGGGGCAGCCGTTCCTGCTGCTGGTGGGAAGCAGGTCAGAGCCACTCAGCCCCAGCGCGCCAACCCCACCCCCAGGCTCGGCTGAGAGAACCACCCCAAAAGCCTGCCGCCTTGGGAGCTTTTGAGTGACTGGCCCCCAGAGCCCCACCTCCAGGAGCCCCCCGCTGTGGCCACCCTGGGCGGCTCAGGTCCTCTGGCCCCGCAGACCCTGCCCAGGGCAGCTCGGCACACACGAGTCCTGCTGGGCAGTTTATTGAGGTCTCGTTACCGGGGTGGGGGGCCGTGGTGTGCACACGCACCCCCATCTCCTGTGCCCAGCAGGGAGCTGTGGCCCACAGGGCTGGCTGGTTCCAAGCTGACTGCGCTTCTTGGGGGCCACGCAGACTCGACAAGGCCTGGGGAGCCTCCCCCAGCCCCAGGCTGAAGCGCGGGCTCAGAGGCAGAGTCTCAGCCCCAGGCCCGGGCCTCCCGCCGGCCGCGACTCCTGCCTTCTGGGCCGGGCTGACTTCGGCCACCCTCCCCGGCATCTCGAGAGCTCGGGCAGGCTGTAGTGGACGTCCACGCCGGACAGGCAACGCTACCTCCAGCCGTCCTGCCTCACGGGGGCCGCTGTGGGGAGGACATGGCTGAGGGAGCTGGCCACAGCGAGACCTCATCCCACCCAGCGCGGGAGACCGACATACCCTCTGGGTTCAGAGCGGACACGAGGGCAGGGCTCTGTGGGGCTCCGGCGGGGGGCTCTTCTCTGGCTGGAAGCAGAAGATTCTGTAGAGAGAGCAGAGTCAGCAGACGGTCTGGAGCTGGCCGGCCCCCCACCCCCAGAGCCTCGCTGACCTGCGTGCCCGGGGTGGCCCTGTCTGGCCGAGGGAGGGGTGGCAGGGCGGCCCCCGCCTGCTGGATGAACTGCTGCAGGTTACACTGGCGGAGCTCCCGGTTCAGCTCCTCCAGCTCCTGGGCCTGGGCCTGGGGCAGGTAGGACCCTCAGGGGCGTGGCCACTGGGCTCCAAGCCCTTCTTGGTCTCATGCTGAGAGGCCCCAGCTGGGAGAACCCCGGGCTCACCTGCAGGGCACGCTCTGCGGCCTCCAGCGCCCGGCTCACCAAGGCCAGGCTGCCCTGCACCTCTGCACTCTGCCGCTCCTGGGCCGCCAGGTCCTGCCGCAGCCGCTCTGCGGCTGAGGTGCCGGGCGAGGTGGGCCCCGGGGCCTCTGTGGCCAGGTGGAGCGCGGCCTCCAGGGCGCGGGCCTGGGCGTCCAGGGCCTGCAGGCGGGTGGCATGCTCCGCGGTGGCAGCGCTCAGGGCCTGCAGGCGCGCCTGCCCCTCCCGCTCCCGCGCCTGCTCCCGCCGCAGCTCCTGCTCCCAGAAGGCCTCCTGGCCCAGCTCCGCCGCGTTGCTCTGCACCCTCCGCTCCAGGCCCTGCAGGTCCGTGCAGCTGCCAGGTGCCGGGACTGCGGCGACCCCAGGCTCCGGGGGCGCCAGGCTGGGTGCCAGCCTGGGACCCCCCAGGCTGAAGGTCAGTGTTTTGCGAGGTTCCCGGCCCAGCGCTGGTCGAGGCTTCGGAGGGAGGCTGGCGCGGATTGGGCAACGTTCAGGGGGTGGGCAGCTGTCGGAGGAGGGCCGCCCAGCTAGGCTGGGCCCAGTCCTCCTCAGGACAAACTGGACATCACTGGCGAACTGCCCACAGGTGGCCTGGGCACCCACTGGACACTCCTGGGGCAGCAATTGCCGTTCCTTCTCCCTGAGACGCTGCACCAGCACAAAGCGGCCTGTCTGGCCTGGGGTGGGGGCAGGGGTCAGTTTCTAGCTGCCTGACCCACTGCCCACCTAGCCCAAGGAATTGGGGAGGGCAAGCAGGCCAGCAGCCACCCCACCCTCCTCTGAGGCTGTCTGTCCCAGAGGGGCTCACCAATAGCTTGGGCTAGTGCGATGACCACTTCCTGGCAGGTGGTCTGCTCCGAGACCCCGCAGACCACGCGCTGGATGCCGTCGACCCACACCTTTAGCTCCATGGCCGCCGGTCCTGAGGGCATCCCTGTCCTGGGGGTGAGGGCCAGGGTCAGGCCCGCTGGGCGGTGGCCGCCCCACCCAGAACTGGCTCCAGGTGCCAGCCCTCAGCCTCAGTCCTGCTTGGCCGTGCCCAGCCTAGCGCACCTCCCTGGGGTGACCAGGGAGACCCCAAAGGCGAGACCAGGTCCCTCCCAAAGGCGGGACCAGCCTGTGCTCCTGGGCGCTTGGGGCTGCCGCTCCCGGAACCGGAGAATCATTAACCAGACCTGGAGTTTCCTGCCTCTCCGGTCACCTGGCTCAGAGGGCCAGAGCCTGCTCCGAGTGGCCACCAGCCCGCAGACCCTCAGGGAGAGGCCTGCCCCCTGGGGACAGTGAGCCCGAACTGGAGTTTGCTCCCGTC